TGAGCAAATAATACGCTTTCGCAAATAAACGCTTTCGACTTTGCTCACTCGGGTGGACTCTTACGTGGAATGGCCGATCATCAAATTTTTTCGGAAAATATATTTTAAACTGAACTGAATTATGCGGATGATGAGTGATATTTTCTAAATATTAATGCGTCTGTTATTCTCAGTAATGTAATTTTCTGTGAAATTTTTTTTACCGTTGTCTCGTTTCAATAAATGTTGTTTGCTTCAGAAAAGACCGTATATGACATAATCGGCCTAGAGGTAGGGAGTTAGCGGAAATAGAGATTTTGATTTTCTTAAGTAAGGAGAAGATCAGATATATCTAAAAAACTACCTATATCATATTTGAATGACTCTGATGTTTGTGTTTCTAAATGTTCTTCGACCACTAGTATAACGATAACGGGTAAAAAACAATAAAATGTCCAGAACATAACTTGTAGCATGACACTAAAATACACTAACAGTTCATCTACTCGGTCTCTGCAACACGTCTCTTCTAACGTAGATATTCTGGCTTTTGATTGTCAAACTGATCGCATTTTAGATGTACGTATAACTTCATATTTATATGTAAAGGATAATAGCTAAACAAGATATCAGAACATATCATAGTCTGCAGTTTATTGAAAAGAATCCTTCGCCTAAACCCCTTATATCATAATTGACACTATCTAGTCGAGGCTTGTATAAAAATCTGACGAGATTTCGCTACGCAGGAAGCGTCTGGCACTTTTCATTTTACCGCGAGTGTAGAGTTATAGAATTATAGTGACCCTCTTCTCTTCGGGCGTGAATCTGACACGTGTGTATTAGGATGTGTTTAATGCTTTGAGCGAAGTCAGAGATGACTAAAATACGGCTGTAGTACATGATGTTCTTAAATAACGACCAATCAGATAGTAGGATGAATGGAACTAATCAACATCGATTCACGAAATACCCAAACTTTCCTTGATAAAGCAAAAGGAGACAACAACATTCATCATTCTGAACTTCCAGCTAGAAAACCCTACCAAAAAATTCTGAAAATTATCTTTTATACTTAATTTTAGTGAACAACATGAAACCATTTTCACTCGCACGCTCTGGAAGATAAACGTGCGCTATGAATAATATACCAATTATTAGCTTGTCTCCCTGTATTATGTGTCAGATTCATGCCCGAAGAGAAGAGTAAATGTCACTGTAATTGTTTAACTCTACACCCGCAGTAAAATGAAAAGTGCCAAGCGCTCTCTGTGTAACGAAATCTCGTCGGATTTTTATACAAGCCTCGACTAGATAGTATCAATTATGATATAAAGGGTTTAGTCGAAGGATTGTTTTCAATAAACTGCAGGCTACGATATGTGCGCACTTATATTTTTCTTAAGTTTATGGTTCGACTACGCTGATTCCGAATATGACCGTGCCAGCTGCCCTTAGGCCTTCAGAGACCGATCTTATGGAAAACAAGTTTTTCATAAACTATAGAAAATAACTAAAACGTTTCTTAATGAAGCAGGATTGTAGCCCGCACATTTATGATTGAAATGAGGCATCTCCAAGCCCTGCAAGTCCTTCGTTTGCAGAGTTATAGAATTTACAAGAAAAGCCCTAAGTTAATTTTTCTCTTATTTCTGTAGCTTTGAGTTATCATATACTTTTTTCAAAGAGAGTTATTGTCCTCTAAACGGATATTTTACGCATTAGAACGTATGGAATACATTTTTTTTAGGTAAAAGCCTTTCTTTTGCTTTTGCTCAGATCGGTTTGGCCAGCTAATTGTCTATCCTCAGCTGCAGTGGGTTTGAGCGATACTGTTTTCTCTCAAATCAACCTTAAAAGCTCATTATCAAATACTGCTTTTTGTGCTGATTACTTTGAAACGAACGAAACCGAAATTTTTAAATAGAAAGTACAAATTCTAAATTATGAATTTATTCATTTCAATTTCCTGACCTACTTAGTTTTTTACAAAATTTTCTTTAAAATTATAATAAATATAGGATAGAGCATTAAAGTCTGTACAAAATGCCCTATTGATTCTGTCAAAACAATCTTAAAGCGCGTATCTTAAATCTAAACAAGTTTTGGATGGTTTTTGTCAAAATCAAAATAGTAAGGCGCCGTTAATTCCAAAATCAAGTGGAAAAGCTTTTGAGTTTTCAAACACATATTCTGATTTATCGGACGCTGCTGATCACGAATCTGACCTTATTTTTTCGATTTGACCGAGTTTTCCTGCAGAAAACCTCAAAATATTATGAAGACGTCAAAAAACCTCCCAAAACCGATTTTTCAGAAAAATCCAGATTATCTCCTGATATTTTCATTTTTCGATCTCGTCGATGCGATTTTCGGATTCAGCATCGTGAAGCACATCTAGACACTTATCATTCGATGACTTTTCTTCAAGACTTAAACTCTTGTGGCTGATTAAACACTGATCGCTCGAACCTTGAGGTTCTCACCGCACAATGCTATCCACTTTTTGCCATGAGCGCTAGAGACTATTTGAATTAAATAGTAAAAATTAGAAATCATTTTTTTGTTGGTGTTTTATAGCACAACAAAAATTAATTGTAAAAAATGACATTGAGCGAAGAATAACAGCTAAAAATGAACAAGTGCGATTAGATCCAAGTTTATTATCGAGAGAAAAACAAAATATCTTAGAAAGAATTCGAAATGGTACTAAAGAGGAACAACGATCACGAAAATATCAATTACTCAAGTTGGGTTTGGCTTGGGATAATGTCGAAGTAGCAAAAGAATTGATTATTGAAGGCTCTTTGGATAATATTATTGTAAGCATAATAAAAGTTCGAACTAAGGATTTCTTGAACTCACTTAGAATTGTTTGACACTTGTCGCTTGCATATAATTTCCTTCTTTACAGCATCAAAAAAAAGTATTCATACGAACAGTGAAGGAAAACCTGTTTACATTCGTTCATTATTTTATAAAAATTGGTGTATCAGTCGATAAAATATTTTTTTCTCATTTACTAACTTCAAATAAAGGAGGTAGTCGTTATCAAAAATTACTCGATGAACTTTATACACCGGAGTTAATAGTAAGTTATCCAATATACCCCTCGAAAAGCGAATAACGATGCTCATTTTCTTTTTAGAATCGTGAGGACTATTTACTAAAATATATTATTTTATCAGATGATTTTTTGAAAGAAACGAAAATTGATTCGATTGAAATTCTAAATTATGTATTGACTAAGTTAATCGGCGATTATATGAAACATTTGTATTTTGAAACAGCTACTGATGAACAAGAAGCGAAACGGACAACGAAACATAATCAAATTAGTGATCAAGAAGCAACTGTTGGAAATTAATGAAAGAGCAAGAAAAAGAACAATTAGTTGAAGATACAATTTATCGTGATCTATTCCTTTGGTCAATACTGATGAATTTCACAGATATGGCTAAAGTTTTCATAGCTCATAGGAAATATCGAATATGTGCTGCTCTAGTAGCAACAAAAATTTCAAAAACATTTTCATGGTTATTATTTATCGTCTAGCGATACAAAAGCTGAACTAAAAACATCTATGGAATATTTTGAACGATATGCCATTGATTGTTTAGAAAGATGTCATAAGAATGATCACGACAGTTCATGTGAACTAATATTAAGACAAATCGATCTATTTGGTGGTGTTCCTCGTTTACAGGTAACTTACTCATCACATATTTTTTCATATTTCGCACTGCTAGTGAGTATATGTGAGTTCTGCCGACGACTTAATGGGCATACAGTTTTTGCACCGTGTTATCAAATTTTGCGTCTCTTAGCCTCTCTCTCCCATGAAAGAATTGATCAAAAGAAACTTTCTTCATATCGTTAAGGTAGCGGCAAATGCTGATTGTAAAAAGTTTATCGGGCAACCATGTTGTGTACAAGCAATGACAAATTACTGGTTTAATAAAATACATCCATCTCAAGAAAAAAAACGTTATCGGTTAATCTTAGTATTAGCCTTTTTAACACTTGGTCTAACAGCGCCTTTTACCGTACGGTATCGACCAAGATCGAATGTATGTTTTAAAAGAGTTTTCTTTGCTGTTGAGTCTATTCTATGTCGTTATTTCGATTTTTTGTATTTTTTACAGGATACTGTTAATAAACCAATGTAAGATTCGTTTTTGTTTTTTTTTATGAATCAAACCTTTTCTCTGCTTTTCTTTAGGTTAAAAGATAATGGTATTAATTATTCGGATCCATATGCAATAGAAAACCCAAAAATTTTTCAGGGTGATTTACATGTTAACAAATATTTATTACGCTTTTAACATTTTCATCAGGCATTAATTACTAAATTTTTATATCGTTATGTAAGTGTGTTTCTTTTCATTCTAAAAAACCTATTGCCTTACGCGTTATTAATTCTTGGTTTTTAGATCCAGTTTATACTTTTTCTGCTACTGTTCAGTTATGTTTTGTTATTTCTATTCGATACCCCCACAAATAAAATGGGAGGTGTTCAAAATGGATAGTTCGACGTAATAAATTAGGTCTCTCGTTATAAATGATGTAGGAAAATATTTCAATGTCTTTTACGAATACTGCTCTACCCTATGTACACTGGCCGGAAATCCTATTGATTATTCTTGTCAGCTGTATGATGATTGAAGAAATTCGTTATGTAGGTATAAACTGCAGTGTATAAAGACTAAAACTATCCGTTTCTTTTTTTCAGTTTTGTAATCAAGATAGCATAAAACTTTGGGAAAAATTGAATAAATATTTCATACACACTTATAAGAGGTTGGACGCTCTATCATATATTCTCTTCTATATTGGTCTCATATTAAGATTTCAAGATGCCGATTCATTGAAAAATTTTGATGTAGCAAGGTATGTGCAAACAATCTTGCTTCGTCAACTCCCAAGAAGGTTTTCCAATTTTCAACCACGTTTAGTTGCTATTGGAAAAATGGTACATTGATTCATCTACAAATCACATTAGTTAACGTTATAGTTTCTTTTTTTGTACCCGAGAGATCTGGCATCTTTTATCATCTTAATACTATTGGTTTTGGCTGCTTACGGTGTAGCTAGTCGTTCAATGGCCTATTACGAGATGATTCGTGTACAGGGTTTTCATACACGGCAAGTATTCAGAAATATTGCTTATCCAGTTTATTACCTTCTTCATGGTGTAATGAACGATGAAACGGTGGTACTAGATTGTCAAGGTCCGTAGTGGATCCTATATATCACGCGACTTGCAGAGAGTTCTTTTGCCTCTCTTGAAACTTGCTTGCTCAGACGATAACCCACGATATTCACAGCCATATTTCTAAAAGACTACATTGCGTCCCTTTCTAAAAAATAGATCAGTATCATGTACAGCTCGTGT